GATGTTGCATGTATTTTAAAATGATTTACAGAATTTAAAATTTGTTCTATTTTAAAAGGGGCTATAAAGGGACAGCGTCTAATCTGAAATTGTTCAGTTATGTATTGGATAATTTTACCGTTACAGAAAGGCTATTGAAATTTTTATTTATCTGTTCACTATTAATGCTCTGTTTCTCTAATATTGAGCACTTTATTTCCAAAAATCTGCTTGCCTTAAATGCATTATCCTCTAGTAGTATCCTTCTTAAAGTATCTTTGCTGTTATTTTGAGATAGATAGACAGATACATACATACATACGCATACACACATAATAGTTTAACTTTTATATCTTGATTTCAGTAACTCTAAAAATTTAAACATCAAACAGCCTGTGGCTTCGTTATTTATTAAATGATAGAGATGAAGACTTGTAGATGTGAAGAATTTTGGAGCTCCTAATGCCACTGCAACTGACATTAGACAGTTAATATGCAAAAAACATAAATAAAAAGAACGGTGCTTTTTCTTGCCACAATGGAGTCTCATGCAAATTGGAAAAAAAACAGACAAGAGTTATCTGACCTTGGATCAGTTTATGATCACTGCTGAATGCTGAAGTAAGACTTACTAATTTTAATTACGAACAATTTTCTCTCTCTTTTTCTTTTTTTTTCTCTTTTTTTTGCTTCTATTTACTTTATTCTTTTTTTGTTTACTTTCTGTGACTTTTACAGAAATAAATTTAAGAATATTGAAAATAAAGCAAGGAGGGGAAGCATGCCTCTAATGTCTGCCAGTCAAGACAAAAGGGCTTGTGTTTGCTAAAGATCTCTGTAAATTTTTTTCAGGTACTTAAAAGACAATAATTATTTTTGTGTGAATAATCTTTTTGGCATAATTGAGTGGGATTCCATGTGAGGCTTTCGTTATTCAAAAAATATGGAACTTGAAAAAACTGGAAATATAATAAAAATGGAATCAGTTTGATGATTTTGTAATTCTGCCAAACATCTTGAGATTTTGTTTTGCATCTGGATACATTTGTTGATTTCATCTGGAGCATGGACAATTTGTTGACATCCTCACAGAGGATTTGTTTCTTTTTCTTTTCACTGCTGTGAGTGTAGAAAATTTTAAAAATAAAAGCAGTGAATTTTGGACTCTACTTTTTTTTTAGTTTAAGAACTAATTAAAATGACTGCAATGTTTGGAACAAAACTTAAACGTGTGTACATTTTCTTTCAATGAGAACTTTATTCATTTATTAAAACTCTAATTTAATGGACTAATATCATCATCATTTTTTTTTGAATATGAAAAATTAACAAAAAATATAATGGTTGAAAATATATTATGAACAATTTAAAAATTTGTTTTGTTATTCTTTTTAATATGTTTAATTCTTAATGAATTTTCATTACATTTTTGTAATGAGAAATTATTGTTTCATTTTTTAATGCCTTTTAATTGTTTCTGTCTGAATTTCTGGAATAAGGAGTTATCATTATTTACATTATTTATATTTGGACTAATGTCCTCATCTTTGTTGTTATTATCACAATGTTTCAGCTGTTGTCCCTCTTCAGGTATATGTTGATCCTGGTAACCTTCAGAGAATTTCATACTGAACCCTTTATTTCATCTATGGTGGTAAATTGTTCTTGTTCCACTGTCCATGTCTAGGAATATCACATCTTTTTCTTTTTTAGTACAGCTCAGTTATTGCTCGCTCTGTTTCCACTGACTTAGAATGTGTACTGCCCAACTCAAGGATTGAACAATCAATGACTATGTCATCAAATTCACAATCCATGAGGCTATTGTCCTGTCTTTTGATTGCATTTTTGAGACAAGATATTATTATTATTATTATACATTGATTTGCTCAGACATCTTTGTCCTCATTTTATTTGTTATTGTCACATCAGCAGTTGTACTCTGTGACCTTCTTCAGGTTTCTGACATAGTAACTGTCCCAAAATTTTGAAATGAACCCTTTATTCAATCCACAGAGTTAGATTGTTCTCATCTCACTCTCCCTCAGCCAATTTGACCATGTGATGTCAACTTTCTTTCACTGAACCAGAGCAGATGAATTTCATTTTTTTTTTCTTTTCTTTTTTTTTGGCATGCCCTGACCCAGGGATCATCCAAACACCAGAGAAATTGATTTGTTTAAAATTTTGCTTATGTCTGGAACAATACCAAAATTCAAGATATTATGAAGAATATAACCATGGTCAGTCAGTCAGTTATGTGCCAAACATGATACATGCTTAGGTGATCATGTATCTCTCAATACATGACTGACAAGGCAGACTTTTTCCCACAGGAGGCTGCCATTTCTTTCTGCGGTAGATCAGTTACCATCCAAGGCTATAGAACCCAGTCTGTCCTGCTACTTATCCATAGCTGGGGCAGAAGAAGAGGATTCATACCTTTCCCAAGAGTATTAGCACATAAGTGAATGTAATGGATTTGACTGGAATTTGAACTTGGCTCTCCATTTCCTCAATCTGAACTGCTATCCTTGACTCCACTGTGCATCCCATGGTAGTATCTAGTAAAATCTTTGGAAATATTTTGGTTTGTGTGTGTATTAAAATACCAAAATTTTTCATGTCTTTAACCTTTGTTGTTTGTCAATGAAAATAAAGGAAATAAATTCAATCTAAAAAAAATTAAATAAAAAAAGTCAGGATTTTCTTTTTGAAAACTAGGTGAAAGGAAAGGTGACGCCATAACAAGTGCTTTACTGTGGGAGGAACAATCATATATATTTAAGCCATTTCAAGAATTGTTCTGACAATGATCATATGCAGACCTGTATTTGCATTACTAGAAACAGCCAGAATATAGTGACATTTTATTTCGTTGGTTGGTTGGTTGGTTGGTTGGTTGGTTGGGTTTTATGGCATATTGACCACTGTAGGTCATTTAATGCCAAATTTAGTTTTATATATATATATATATTTTGTACTAGAAAACACGTAGCTGGCAACATTATTTCTTTTCAAAAATGCATAGCTGGCAACATTATTTTTGGACGTAATTTATCGTCATAACCAGGACGTAGATATATGATGGGAAAAACTGGGAGTTCACAATTTGCCCATAGCTGGGACCCTAATAGGTGCTAGCACCCCGGGTCAGGGTGGACCTGGGAACACCAGCAATTAAGAGGTGGTTTCACGCTTCCTCAAAACCTCCTGATCAGAGGCCTTGCTGTTGGATGTAGTTTATCGTCTTACCCAGGACGAGTGACATTTTACCATTGTACCAAGTGAAACAAAGTGAGACACAGGTTGTTATTTTCATTTATAATTTCTATTAAGTTTTGGTAACCCATTTTAGTATCCAAGTAGTTATTGAAATTTTGGAACCAAACTGGTACCACTCACTATCCTGTACCTTTTCTTGATATCCCACTGAGTATGTGCTTATTTGCTTAAAGAGTTATCCCAAGTTCACCAGCTGCATGATTCATAACACAGGTATACGTAACCAGCCTCCCGACCAAGGCTGGGTGGGATACAAGGTTGTTTTAACGTGGGGAGCACCATACACATACTTATGCATATGAGCCAAGGACAAAAACTGATTTTTGCCTAGCCCCCATGACCACTGTCACACTGCCATCAGTATTACACTGATCCAACCTCTTTAGTGTGATGAGGAAGGTGTTGACATAAGGTTGGAATCTCTGGGGCTGAGCAACTTCTCCCATCTAAAATAATGATAATCAAAGCTTTATTTATAGCACAGGGACATTAGACACACCTCAGTAAACCCTCATTGGCAATGGTTAACTCTTGTGCCACATTCATAAAACAGGCATATTGAACATGAGAATACAAGCTATTAAAAATATGGATGGTGTTTCACTAAAATAAGCCCCAAATATTTTAGTACAGATGTAAGAAAATACTAAATTTCCAGACAGGGTGGTGACATCATGAATGTTCTTCAGACATACTATGCTATTTATGATGTCTTGGATTTTGGAAGTAACTCCTTCCCTGTTAAACAATACCCACTTCTACTAAAATGTATATCCAGTTGGTGGACAATTCAGTAGTGAAAATGTTAAGCCTTCAACTTTATATTACTTGTCTTTAACTGATGATTTTAAATCTCTATCTATCTGTGTGTGTGTGTGTGTGTGTGTGTGTGCTGTGTTCTATTAGGACATGGGAAATCAGGGCTCTCTATATCTTGTTTTTTATTGCTCTCAGCAATACTTTATGATTCCCTATTTTCTCTTCGTGACACTTGTATGCTGTTTCTTTTAATTCCCTTATCTTTTAATGTTATTGTAGTATTTTTCCTCTTTTTAATTTTTTTCTTAAGATCATGAAAAATATCTTTGATTCTGAAACTGATATTCTAATAGGGATTTTGATTCGAAAAACTTTCTGAATTCAGCTTCACAGGGCTTTATTTTATTTTCTCTCTGAATTTCTGGGATGAGGAGTTATCATTGATTACACTATTTACATGCCCTCATTTTTGTTGTTTATTTTATTTATTCTTTTGAAAAACCTGCTTTGTATTTCAGCATATTAAGAAATAATTGCCTTGAATAATTCGACATGCCTATTATTTATTGCCACCTTTTTTTCAAGCAGATCTCATACTATAATTTAATGATCAAGAGCAGATTATAACTAATGAACATGGCGCCTGTCCTTTCTTTGCCTCACTACATCAACAAAACCATCCTCAGAATTATGGCTGTCATAAGCAGTACTGTTCTCTGAAGTATCTCAGTTTAAATCACAGTCTTAATTTTACAACAGCCATTTTTGGATTTTGTCTCACATTTCCAAAGGCACCCACATTAACAGGAACAACTTCTACTATTTTAAACTTCCACTAGACATCCTATCTCATATTTGAAATTTTCATACCTTTCCTTCTTTTTCCCCTTGTTTCTCAACTACCCTTATGTCCCCTGGTACTTCTATAGTGATGATCCAACACTGTTTTGATGTTTGGCCTTCTTGCTTCAATTGGCTTATGGCCACATCTGGTTGAAACACCAGTTCTCAGATGATCACCAAAGTTAAGCAATGTCGAGCCTGGTCAATACCTAGGTGGGTGACCACTAGGGAATACTACATTCTGTAAGCTTGGATGTGCAGGTGGGGTAATGGATAATGACTCTGAATTGTTAATGAGAGAGCTGAGATCCAATTCCAGTTGTGTTCGTTATATTCACTTATGGACAAATACCATTGGGGAAAGGTATGAATCCAACTCTTCCCCCCTCATCTATGGGTTAATTAGTAAGACGTGTATCACTAAAATAAAATTGCATACAAAATATTTATGTTTCAGCATTAAATGACCTATAGAGGTTGATATGCCACTAGACAATAACAGCCAACCAATTCTTGCTTCAATTACATTATCACAGTGAAGTCCCAAAGCAGCTTTGCACTATTGATTGTGGTTTATGCTCATACCACTTTTCTGCTCTCTCTAGTCAGTATTTACTATACAGATTCCAATGTACAATGCATGCTATATTGTCATGTCTCTGTATACACTTTTTTTCTTCTTCTTAGAGCAGCACACCAAAAAGTTGATGCCAAGATCCAAATATACAAAGCTCATCATGACACCCAGTCTGACAAGGGTATACCAGGTACATGCATCACAGCCAAATGTGCATGATATGATTACAAGTTTTGATAAAAGCAGCACATTAGCTTGCTTATTCCTGCAAACTCCTTGTCTTAAATATGAATTCTAAAGGTCTTTGGTCTGACCTTAATAAGAATTTCTTTCCATTCAAGAACTGACAAGTTCTATTTGTCATCCATATTTTGGCTAATACTTCTTTTTCAATATTTGAGTAGCTCAATTCAACTTTTGGCAATTTTCTCAAAAGATACATAATAGGATGCTCATCTAATATTCTTGAAAATGAGTGTTCACTTGTGTCAGTTGTTACTACTATTTCTTTTCTAGGGTTGAATATTTTTACTACTGGTTTTTTTTTGCCAGAATAGCTTTTAAATTTTCAAATGCTCCTTGTTCTTTTGTCCAAATAAATTCCACATTCTTTTTTTCAAAAGCAACAAATGGTTCTGTCATATTGTCTGTAAAAATTTACAAGTCCTAAGAAAGATTCCAATTCTTTTTTGTTCTTAGGTACTTCAACTTTTAATATTTTGTCAATTGGTCTGGTGATATGCCTTTCTTAGAGATGGAATACCCAAAAATGATATTTTTTTTGTGTTGTGCACACATTTTTATGTTAATTCAGTATTTTTTAACTTATTCAAAACCATACTGGTTTTCCATTTTAATTCTTTGTCATTAATAGCACTGACACAAATATCATCCAGGTAGCATATTGCATTTTTTATATCACTACCAATAACTACCTTTATAACTCTTTGAAAAACTGCACTTATGGTTTTTTCCATATGGCATTCTTTTCTATCTTAATAAGCCTACTGGTGTATTTATTGTTGTGACTTCTTTAAAGTCTTTGTCAATAGGTATTTGATGGTATGCAGATTTTAGATCAATTTTAGAGAATGTTTTCATACCCACAAGGGAGTTCAAAGCCCATTCTACATTGGGGATAGGATATGAATCTCCACATATTTTGTGGTTTACACCTATTTTGTAGTCACCACAAATGTGCAGATCCTCATCCTTCTTTCTTAACATTACTAATGTGGAGGCCCATTTACTCCCTCCTGAAAGAACTTGTTCAAGTAGATTTTGTTCTAGTAATTTTTTTAGTTTTTCCACAACTATTGGTAGTCGGTGGACTGGCACTTTTTGTGCTTGAAAATATGAGAGGATGATGTTTTCCTTTAGTCTTAACTTTGCTTCATAGTTTTTCAACATTCCAATTTCTTCTACCTTAACTTTGTTCACTAATTTTGTCAAATTTATGTTCAATACATCATTTCCTAATAGACCATGATTCTTTTCATAGTTTGCCATGATAATTGGTAATATGTCAGACTTATTTTTTAGTTCCACAGAGGCTTCAAAATAGCTTTGCATTTTTATCATGGATCTCTCAAACTGATTAAATTGGATCAGGTTTTTCTTTAATCTTAGTTTTCCTAATTTCTTCCAGAAATTTCTGGGTATCAACATCACGCCACATCTAGTTACATGTCCAATAAAACTCTAATTCAAATTTTTAATAACACTTTTTCATTTCATTTTTTAAATGACAAGACACCCATACTTATTTCCTCTTCATTTCGTTGGACTGTCTCTATGTTTTTCTTTTTGGATTTACACATATGTTTAAAATTATTCATTTTGAAACACTTTTCACATTTTTTTCATATGCCAATCATTGCTTTTCACTTTGATGTTGATATCCACAAAAAGTACATGTTATTTTATCTTTTTTCTTTATCACATATGTGTCCAGATCTGTAACTTTTGTTATATTAAATTTTCCAATTAATTCTTGTTGCTGAACAAATTCAACACACTGTTCTAGTGATAACTTTCCCAGTTGTAAAAGCATTAGCATCATTTGTCAATACTCCACATTTTGAAGACTGTTTACTAATTTCATTTGGATCAAATTCTCTTCAGTTGACTGGTTTTCCACTTCCAGTTTCTCAAATTCACAATATTTAGCTGCCTGCTTTAAATGAAGAACATATTCAATAACTGTTTCATTCACTTTTTGAAAGATATTCATGAATGTAGCCTTCTCTGCATTCACTAGTATTTTCTTAGGTGTTATGTTTTTCCCTATTAATTTTTCCTCCAACTGTTTTTTGTTGTGACTGATAATTTTATAATGGCCGAACAACCAGCAGTTTTCAAGAAGACATCAATTATTTGGTTTTCTCCTCCAATTGATTTTAAATCCTTTAGCTTTTTTGTTCTAGCTTTAGCTGCTAGTATCTTAAGTGATGCTTGTGCGTATCCATAATTATCAAGTGATAACTGTTCGTTCAGTTCTTTAGATATCAGCAACACCATTGTAGTGCAGTGTTACTGACTCACAGGAAGTAGTATGCATTCAACTGCTTCATGGGTAATAACTATAGTTATTTATAGTCTTTGCGACTTTATATAAGTCACCTCAACTGCTAAGAGCTACAAAGGATAGGAAGTTGTAGAGAGCCATGATCAGTCATATCTTGAAGGGATGTGGTACACAAAAAAAGAAGTCTTCATGATTTAAAGATATGAAATATATATAATTATTGGGTCAGAGACCAATGATTTAATTAGTATTATGTTGCATCTGTTAATCTGGTAAAGGAATAATCTAGTGCAGTGCTGAAAAAATGGTGGGCTATCTGTATATGAAAAGACAAAGGGAAAATTCTGTATATGTATTGAATAATTATTGGTTTAAGAAATAAACACTGAGTTTTAAAGAAAAGATGTAGGAATCGAAGATTCTGGTTTTGTTCAAATAGTACCAAAAAATATTGCATTAAAATGTCAGAGCTGTTTTTTTGTTTTTTTTATTACTTTGATCTGAACTCAAACTGGACATGTTTCACTTAAGATAAAACTTTGATCTGAACTCAAACTGGACATGTTTCACTTAAGATAAAACTTTGATCTGAACTCAAACTGGACATGTTTCACTTAAGATAAAACTTTGATCTGAACTCAAACTGGACATGTTTCACTTAAGATAAAACTTTGATCTGAACTCAAACTGGACATGTTTCACTTAAGATAAAACTTTGATCTGAACTCAAACTGGACATGTTTCACTTAAGATAAAACTTTGATCTGAACTCAAACTGGACATGTTTCACTTAAGATAAAACTTTGATCTGAACTCAAACTGGACATGTTTCACTTAAGATAAAACTTTTTGATCTGAACTCAAACTGGACATGTTTCAACTTAAGATAAAACTTTGATCTGAACTCAAACTGGACATGTTTCACTTAAGATAAAACTTTGATCTGAACTCAAACTGGACATGTTTCACTTAAGATAAAAACTTTGATCTGAACTCAAACTGGACATGTTTCACTTAAGATAAAACTTTGATCTGAACTCAAACTGGACATGTTTCACTTAAGATAAAACTTTGATCTGAACTCAAACTGGACATGTTTCACTTAAGATAAAACTTTGATCTGAACTCAAACTGGACATGTTTCACTTAAGATAAAACTTTGATCTGAACTCAAACTGACATGTTTCACTTAAGATAAAACTTTGATCTGAACTCAAACTGGACATGTTTCACTTAAGATAAAACTTTGATCTGAACTCAAACTGGACATGTTTCACTTAAGATAAAAAACTTTGATCTGAACTCAAACTGGACATGTTTCACTTAAGATAAAACTTTGATCTGAACTCAAACTGGACATGTTTCACTTAAGATAAAACTTTGATCTGAACTCAAACTGGACATGTTTCACTTAAGATAAAACTTTGATCTGAACTCAAACTGGACATGTTTCACTTAAGATAAAACTTTGATCTGAACTCAAACTGGACATGTTTCACTTAAGATAAAACTTTGATCTGAACTCAAACTGGACATGTTTCACTTAAGATAAAACTTTGATCTGAACTCAAACTGGACATGTTTCACTTAAGATAAAACTTTGATCTGAACTCAAACTGGACATGTTTCACTTAAGATAAAACTTTGATCTGAACTCAAAACTGGACATGTTTCACTTAAGATAAAACTTTGATCTGAACTCAAACTGGACATGTTTCACTTAAGATAAAACTTTGATCTGAACTCAAACTGGACATGTTTCACTTAAGATAAAACTTTTGATCTGAACTCAAACTGACATGTTTCACTTAAGATAAAACTTTGATCTGAACTCAAACTGGACATGTTTCACTTAAGATAAAACTTTGATCTGAACTCAAACTGGACATGTTTCACTTAAGATAAAAACTTTGATCTGAACTCAAACTGGACATGTTTCACTTAAGATAAAAAAAACTTTGATCTGAACTCAAACTGGACATGTTTCACTTAAGATAAAACTTTGATCTGAACTCAAACTGGACATGTTTCACTTAAGATAAAACTTTGATCTGAACTCAAACTGGACATGTTTCACTTAAGATAAAACTTTGATCTGAACTCAAACTGGACATGTTTCACTTAAGATAAAACTTTGATCTG